TCCTTGGAAGGTAAGAGATCATATATATAGATATGATTCCTTGGAAGGTAAGAGATCATATATATAGACATGATTCCTTGGAAGGTAAGAGATCATATATATAGATATGATTCCTTGGAAGGTAAGAGATCATATATATAGATATGATTCCTTGGAAGGTAAGAGATCATATATATAGATATGATTCCTTGGAAGGTAAGAGATCATATATATAGAAGCGACCTCTTAAAATGTGAATGTAAGCTCGTCACGGTTTGACTCTTACACAGTATATTGCACCTGTTCATAAAAGTATTCTTTCTTGGGTTTTATATACGTGTACATCGTCATCTACAAAATGCATACATATCGGTAAAATACAAAATATGTAAGCAATTTTTGGTCACCTATTTTAGATAATGCGTATTTCCTAAGCATGCCATTAGTTCACAACCATAAAACAGAAAGTAAACATTTATCAATACATATCTTTATAGCCTCAGTTATGAATCTTATTTTCTGATAAAATAATTGTCGTTAGTTACATTATAACAGCTTCAAAGAATATAGTTGTTATTCTCTAAAGCATGATGTAATTCCGATTCTCACATTCAATTTTCTTGGGAGTTAATTGATTCACTGGCTATCCAGTGTATAGGTTTTTCTCATAGTGACTATAAGCACATTCACACCGGCAATATAATTTCAATGATAATCCCATATTTAACTAAATGATCGTGTGAAGCATTTTTCTGTCATACTCCAGAATTTTATCCCATTACAGAAGTAAGTCCGGCTGTCCTACAACTTAAGAAAATCCTTATTACCTTATTTAATAATAGGAGTAACATAAGCAACTATCAAATTCTCCGGACCCCCCCCCCCCTTCTTTTTCTGTGATGTCCTATATTTGTTGTTGTTTTCAGTTGTTAATATTTTATAAAGGTTGGTATCAGAAGTATTTCAGAATATAAACATATCGAATTATCGCTCGAGGATTTGTAAATCCTTTTTGTAGATCATGTCAGTGCCACAAAGCAATGTTTAGATTCTAGGCGTTATAATCTGAAGACGAAACTGAGGTTATCAACTTATAACCTTTATAATATTGCCTGCAGCGTATATAATTCACAAAAAAAAAAGATCAGTTAGTTATAAATAAGGTTTATCTGGGATCATTAGAAATATAAAATAAAAACTTTCAAATCATAGAAATTTGTTGTAGTTCCGCGCTGTGTCTTCAAAGACAGCATGAAACTGCCAAACTGCAGCAAAGTGCATTGTAGTACATATTATGTAGACACATCAATACGTTATTCCCTTGTATTTTTAAAGTTCTTTTTTTCTATTAAACACTATTTGTGAATATCAACTTTCACATATTTAACAGAAATAAATTTGTGAAAATTTAAGGAAATATTTATAATTTCCATTACAAAACGCCGCCGCCGCGTAATTTATAAAAACACCTTTTTATATCTGAATAGGTAGCGCATGCGCGTCATTCTTTCCAAGAGACTGGGCAGATCCAACCAGAGGTCATTGACAGAATCTCAACTATCTTTCCACCAGTGTTTCTTTCTCATTATACAAGTATCTTTTTATTTTGATTCTCGGAATTAATGATCTTTGAAATTGATGTTATTAGTAATTTTATTTATCAGGCTTTGGAAAATATTGCATAAAGAAAATAAGTATATATCAATAATGAAAAAGAATACGTTTTGCGTTTTCCTATCTAAAAAAATGTAACTAACACAAATTAACAAATTCGCTAGCATCAACTAAAATTCATTAATTTATTGCATTGCTATATCAAATACATTTGGTGGAGCGCAGAGTTTCGTGATAAATATGGGAATGACCACTTTCTCTGTCTGCCTATTACAAGTACTCAGCACTTACGTAGAACCTGTTTCTACTTGCTCAGGCTTTTCATTGTGTTCTGGATTTAATTATACAAACTTATACGTATTGCGCAGAAAAGAAACAAGCCACTATTGTGTATTGGAGAATGTTAGAGATGCTCTGTTTTCCCATCACTTTATGGTTTACAAAACGTTTCGTTTTTAAAATCTAGTTGAAAGTCTACGTATGCCGTACTTATGATTCTGTATAATTAAAACAATTTTCGTAAAAAATATATACGTATTTATCTTTGTGGTCTCTTTGATCAGCGTCTGTGGTGCTACTTTAATGTGTTGATGAAATCTCAAGAGCCATTTGATATATGGCGTTTTGGTATACGTTAAGGGATTGTTAGACGCGATATCAGGTCACCCGGATGCCAAAAATGATTCCAGAGTTTCAATCTTCGAAGCTTCAAAGTTGTTTGACAGTGTTATTTTTGGAATAATAGATATCTTCACTACTTCCATCTCTTTGTCTCCTAAAAAGAGAGATCATGCACAGCAGATGTAACTGATGGATGTGGGATCAAAAGGATTAGAGCATGCCGTTTTCAGGAGGGTTCTACAAAGGTTTATAAGATCTTTTAATCGGTTTGCTGTCTCAGTGATTTATTCAATCATGAAACGACACCTTCCAGAATTGCCTTTCCTTAATATTACGAAAAAAAATTTGCCGTTCGTTTCAGCAACGTGTACTCGTGGTTTGGACTCCAAATCTCCAAAATTAAGCTGATTTTATGAAGCATTTCAGTTAACCTACAGATATACAGTTGCCACTGTTACGTGTTTTAAACACACTTCACAGTGAATGAGAATGCATAGAATGATTGAAAAAAAACAAAACGCGTAGTGACTAAAGCTATGGAAATAATAATAATAGTGAATTTAGTATGATATATATATAACATTAAAATAGTAGTCCTACGGTTTTAAAATTTTTTGTTATAACATATAATTTATTAAAATGATTAATCATAAAGAGTTAACCAAATGGAATAGTTCTGATTTCAATATAGGAAGAACAAACAGATAATTATACGGAACAATTATCCTCTTCCACATTTCAAGAATACTTTTGAGATATATTTTCAGTTTATTCGGGGGAAGCGGTAGATATTTATGATGTGAATGTTCAGCGTCCCCATTCTATCTTCATCACATTAAAGCAACCTTAATAATTTTTATTCTAATCTCCAAGCGTACAATACTTAATTTTATGTAGTTTAAAATATTGTGTGTATTAATACATGCATATTATGATGTATAGACGTATATATATAATAAACCTATGTATATAGTGATAATACATCTAGAAGATCCACGCTTATTTTATGAAGGCTGAATGCTTATTGTAGGTTGAAAATTGCAAGTGTTTTTAGCAGCATGTTTGGAAGTAAAGCAGTAACAATTGCCTGTAGTTAGATGTTAACACAATCTGATATGATGTGATATAAGTATTTGTAGCAACTAATAGATAATCACAATTATGGTTAACGTTTTACAAAACTCACATAACTAAAAATACGAACCTTGATATCAAAGAATTTCAGAACATGTAAGATCTTCTAAGCTGCACACAGTTATTAATATATATATATGTAACCTATTAAAGCTATTCTTTGTACTTTGGTTTCTTGTTTTTGTGTAACTGACAATGTGTTTTGTATATCAGGTGTACGCATGAGAACTAGACATCGTTTCCTTTATGTATGACAGTTATCTGTTGAGGATTTTTTTTAACAACCCGTGTTCGTGTCTGGAACGATTTAGTGATTTAGTATAGTATATAACCGTTTGATTGACAAAATTAAAGTTTAAATACGCCAACGACAATAGTTGGTACTATCTGAAACAGTGCTTAGTATGTGGTTTAATCATTGTTTCTGTCATAATTATCTTATTTACTATTTTCTCTCATGGTTGGAATGGAAGGGAGTGACTCATGTCGTTCATGAAGTCTGGTTTCTGAGGGTTTTGTAATTGGATAATCAATAAAGCTGGAGTCTTAGTGACGCCAGCACCTAGTATTACTGAAAAGACGTACACTACTGAATTTTGCTTCGCTTGTATTTGGTAGCTCCTCCCTGCCCCCCCCCCCCCGTTTTTTTTTTGGTGCTAACGTTAGCGTGTTATATCTCAGTTGACAAATCAAATATGCAACGAAATATATTTTTTTTAACTTTTTAAAATGTTTACTGCTCACACGTCAACAAAATGTAAGCAGTTAACGAAGCTGTTCAGTATGTTGAATTAAACTGTTGGAAATTGAAGATGAAGATCTGGGTAACAATGAAAATATTCAACTGAATGCATTCTAATCATCGTAAGATTTTGTTTTATGACTTTGAATGTTAATCTGATGTATGAAATTAGCTAAATTATGTGATAAGTTATATTTAGTTTGGCCTAAGTAATGGACTCACTTTAGCGAGGAATTATTGGTAATTATAATTAAGTTTGACAAAATGTTGACATCCAAGTGAAAAGTAACAGTACTTTTTTTTTGCAAAACAGTGAATTATTTATTTCGAGCATATGTGTTGACATACTAAAGTACAATATTAAAGGTAATTTCGTTACAATATTATTAGTGCTACACGATTTCAAGTCTACACTTAATTTAAAGTAGTGTTTAACGCGCACGTTATGTCAGAATATATATTGTTACATCACCAATCAATAAGTTTTTACTACAGCTTTTACAGTAAGGACGAATATTTTTAAAACGGGTACGACGTTTCGAACACTGATGCGATCACAGCGATAAAAAAAAAGGTTTTAGTACCTAAATCAACATTCATCAATCTAACAACATATTTAAACTTTGGAATTGATAATGATTACTCTGCATGTTCACACATGTGTTGACAGATTAATAATGATTACTCTGCATGTTCACACATGTGTTGACAGATTAATAATGATTACTCTGCATGTTCACACATGTGTTGACAGATTAATAATGATTACTCTGCATGTTCACACATGTGTTGACAGATTATTTATGTATGGTTGAAAAGTGAATAAATATGGAAATGTTGTGCGTAAATTATAATCAGTAAATAAACTAGGCTTGCAACCTGTAAGTTAGAATTTTAGTTTTGAAGTCTTTAGATTAGAAACTAAAAGTGATTAATGTGTAGATAGATTTAAATTTGGTTGAATAGAATTAATATTAATGTTAATAGTATATATACTTATGCGTCGTTGTGTGATAAAGAAACTGAGTAAATGTTCTTGTCTTATTCGTTTTAAGATATTGAAATAATTCAACAATTCTTAGAGAAACGTACAGCTATAAAAGTCTCTAAAGACGGATATGATTTTGATTTTTGTGTGTTTTTTAAAACTTTGTTTCGTTTTCCAGATCCAGTGTAATCCAACTCCATGTCATTCTGGTTAGGAGATAATTCCATTGGGAGCGGCATACAGCTTCCCACTTACCGAGTGACTACCGAAAATGAATCTATTAAATCTGTATACAGCGATCACTCCTCGCGCTTACGCTGTTCACGAGGTCATGGAGTTGCGCCTTCAAACTATCATACTCACCGCTCACGGTCGCCACGACATTCTCACCGTTCCAAGAAAATTAGTCAATCCATTTCGGAAAATAAAGCTTTGGAGAGATCGGGAATAAGCCGATGCAATGACGAGATCATAGAGGTACAGATTCTACCTCAGGATGATAACTGGGGAGACAACACTACTGCCGTTACGGGCAATAGCAGTAATCACTCAATGTCCATAGAGAACTTGTATAAAATGGGAGGCGATTGGGACGAAGGTTGGATCTTCAAGTGCCAAATGTGGACGGGTTCGTTTATTGCCATCCTCTTGTTTTTCTGTTCATTTATTTCTCCATTATTAATGGTTGTTTTGCCTAAACTTGACTTCTTTGATTGGAAAGTGCAAAAATGTGGACCCGAATGCGATGGTTTACTGATTAGTCTAACATTTAAATTAATTATATTACTTTTTGGTACGTGGGCTGTTTTTCTTCGTCGACCCAAAGCAACAATGCCAAGAATATTCATTTTTCGTGCTTTTGTTTTAGCTTTAGTTTTAGTTTTTACATTTTCCTACTGGCTATTTTACAGCGTTCGAATTGCCGAAAAGCGAAATAACGATCACGAAGTAGCCTATCACAGTATAGTTCTCTTCGCGGTATCACTAGTTGATACGTTGCTTTTTGTTCATTACTTAGCTGTCATCTTCATCGAAGTGCGCCATCTTCAGCCTCAGTACTTTGTTAAAATAGTTCGTTCACCAGATGGAGAAAGTCACTGTTATAACATGGGCCAATTTAGTATACAACGAGCAGCCGTCTGGGTTCTAGAACGATATTATCAAGATTTTTCTCTCTACAATCCCTACCTTGAGACATTGCCCTCAAAATCTCACAAGTTATCGTACGGCCTAAAAGTTTATAATGTAGATGGAGTGGATAATTCGTCGGTTCTTTCTAATTCGATGGCCATTCCAACAGGGAATGGTCGACGACGAGAGTCTAGTCATAATGACCGTTTTTATAACGAACAAGAATACGACAGACGAGTGAAAAAGAGAAGAGCGAGACTTATTACAGCTGTAGAAGAGGCTTTTACGCATATAAAACGTCTTCGCGATGAGCCAGGTAACACAATTATATATTCCTTGATCGCCAAGAGTAACTGAGGAGTAATGTTTAAGTAAACTGATCTTTAAATTTCTGAAACAACGCGATAAAATATTTTACGTCTATGTGATGTTATTCTTATTATGTTAGAATATTGTATGGTTTTATTTGTTTGTTTTTTTTAAATTCGTGAAAAGCTACTTGAGGGCTACCTGCGCCAGCCGTCTCTAATTTAAAAGTGATAGAATAGAGGTTAGGCAGCTAGTCAACAACAACACCCACCGCCTACTCTTGGGCTACTCTTTACAAACGACAGGTAGGATTGACCGTAACAATATAACTGCCCTATGATTGACAGGGTAAGTATGTTTTGATTCGAACTTGCGAACCGCAGTTTGCGACTCGAACACCCTAACCAACAGGTTATGTCAGACTCGGGTTATTTTGTAGAAGAAAAAAAAAATGTGTGCTCTGATCGACTTGTTACAACGGCTACTAATCTTATTATTCATGGAATTATAAAACTTGTGATATAATTAATACTGTACTGCAGTGTCCACGTTTTTAACGTTATAAGAAGAAAACGTTACATCCCAGACAGACAACCACACCACGAAATCGTACCTTTAACGTATAGACAATAATATTTAATTCACGACCTAAGAAGTTCGCATAAAATTGGTTTTTACACAATTTCTCATTTCCACGACTCTTTACGAACTTTACTCTTGAAGGCTTAAACTCTAAAAGTCAGGGTTTGATATCCTTATTGAGCGCAGCGCAGACAGTCCATTGTTTACCTTAAACACAGACAAACCCAACACTCCGTTTCTGTGCAAGAATCTATTAGGCCTTATATTGAACTCAAATATTTGCCTAGAAAATGAGTTTCTTTCTAGTATAAAGGAACAGAACAAGTGAGAACAAGATGGTAAATATAACATTTAAATTATTACTCATTAAATTACACGAAAATCGAATCGAAAGTTTTCGCCACACTTATCATAAAGTTAAAAATATACCCCGAATTATTTTTTTTTTCGTCTGTAATGCAACATATCTCTAAATGTTATATATATTAGATTACAATTCACATTGCTGACTAATTCATACACTAAGGTATTGTTTGAAATTTACCGTTCGTTATTTCCGCGGACTTTATGCGCAAGTGTACCTCGCTATGTGCAGATTATGTGTTTGATATTATTGTGTTGATATCAGATTATGTGTGTGATATTATTGTGTTTATATCTGATTATGTGTGTGATATTATTGTTTATATCAGATTATGTGTGTGATATTATTGTGTTTATATTAGATTATGTGTCTGATATTATTGTGCTTATATCAGATTATGTGTCTGATATTATTGTGTTTATGTCAGATTATGTGTCTGATATTACTGTTTTTATATCAGATTATGTGTCTGATATTACTGTTTTTGTATCAGATTATGTGTCTGATATTACTGTTTTTATATCAGATTATGTGTCTGATATTATTGTGTTTATATCAGATTATGTGTCTGATATTATTGTGCTTATATCAGATAATGTGTCGGATATTATTGTGCTTATATCAGATTATGTGTCTGATATTATTGTGTTTATATCAGATTATGTGTCTGATATTACTGTTTTTGTATCAGATTATGTGTCTGATATTACTGTTTTTATATCAGATTATGTGTCTGATATTATTGTCTTTATACATTTATTACGTCTTTATATACGGCATGCCTGATTCTCCCATTTCTTTACTGAACTATCACATTTTATTATAAACTATATTCTATACTGCGATTATTCAAGTGTCGCACCGTATTCGATTCCATTATCTAAATTGTCAATTATAGTTTATTGTAATATCATACGTGTAATTTTTCGAATGCCGTTAGAGAGTTTGCCACAAATTTAATTTTAAAAATAACAATACTTTGTTTTTAATTTGATAAAGATACAGTTTTGGGAATGTTACTACGATAAACCAGCATGATTAGAACAATTACTATGTAAAAAATATTCCTACAATTATTATGTGATTTACCTATTAATGAAACTATGACTGTTCTTTTCGTTATTATTAATTAGATGAAAACGTGCAATAGTGATTATGCACGCGAGATAAATGTTACATTGGAAGTGACGATTTATTCGAAAGATATATTTAACATCGCTTTATGTCAGAGAGATATACACTTCAATAAAATGAGTTCGATCAGAAGAAAAATCGAACTACTAGAGTGATACGTTCATGCCGTAAAATAAGTTTGGTATCAATTACGAGAATAATATGAGTCTTAAGGAAAAAGATTTATCAGAGTTCTTACATGTGTAACATGGTAATCATATTATTGCGATAATGAATTGTTACAAATGTAACATAGTAATCATATTATCGTGATTACCAGCTTATTTAGAAATTTTTGTAGGAAAGTTAAAATAGCAAATGGGACTTGCACATTCTACAGTGAAGTCAATACAAATATTAAAAAAACAAAGCCAGAACACTTCAAACAAAAGAACGAAGTAGGATTAACCAGGTGGTGAGGGTCGCGTGTTCGAAGCCCATCCTACCAAACAGTTCGCCCTTTCAGCAGTGGGGGCGTTATTATGTGAAGTCAATCCCATTGTTCGTTGGTAAAAGAGTAGCCCAAGAGTTGGCGGTGGGTGGTGATGACTAGCTGCCTTCTCTCTTGTCTTTCATTGCTAAATTAGGGACGGCTAGCGCAGATAGCCCTCGTGTAGCTTTGCGCGAAATTCAAAACAAACTAAAACAATCCCCCCTATTGGAGGATAACCAAGCGGTCGTTTTATTAGCAAGCGTAGAAGATATGTTTTGTAAAAGTTCTATCAGTGAACAATAAGACACTATTTATTAGCACTTATAATGTTTATTATAAAACAAGGAAATCCATTTATCTAATGAACAAAGGTCGTGTAAAAATATATTTTCCGAAACAGTGAGCGACATTTAACATGTGTGTGTGAAGTTTTGTTTCAAAGAAGTTGGACGATGGAGCCTACTTCTTTCTTTGGTTTGAAGAGTTCTGGCTCTAAGCCTACATCATTCTTTGGTTTGAAGAGTTCTGGCTCTAAGCCTACATCATTCTTTGGTTTGAAGAGTTCTGGCTCTAAGCCTACATCTTTCTTTGGCTTCAAGAATTCTGGCTTTAAGCGTACATCTTTCTTTGATTTGAAGAATTCCGGCTTTAAGCCTACTTCGTTCTTTTGTTTGAAGTGTTCTGGCTTTTAATTATTTATCTTAACGATACAATGTATTTATTAATTAGCTGTATGCGGCCTGTTAGATTACTGGTGAAAGGTATTAACTGGGGAGAGGTACTTAGGACTATTTTCATCATGTATGTGATAGCAATCTATGGAGCATAAAAGCTCGTTTATATGTATATATATTTTGAAATAATTGAGCGAAATATATGACAGTCTGTCATAAAGTGGCTGTATTGTTTGTTTAATTATGTAAGAATACTGAGCTGGTGGATCTTGGTACTCTATAGGTTGTCGTGAGAAATGAGTTGTATTGTTTGCAATTTACTTGTTAATTGTGTGGGTACAACATGGATCCATGCTGGGTATGCGTATTCTATGAAGGGACATGCATATCTTCGCTATATTCTGATAATTCTTTGTGTTCATGTTCATCATTCTCCTGTCAGACTCGTAGATTAGTTTGTTCGTCGTTAGACTTTAGTTCTAACTTCATTTATGTGCTTGCCATACGTAAAGCCTAAAAATTCGACATATGTTTAAGTCTGGAGAGGAGTTCCGTTTAAGTATAACTCGGGTGCGTGTCTACTGGCTAATGAAACTCTTTCAGTGGTTGTTTACTTGTTTTAGCGGAAAGCTACATAATCGGCTATATGCGCTCGGTCCATCATGGGGAATCGAACTCTGGATTTTTTGCGTTGTAGGTACGTAAACTTACTACTGATATACCGTACACTAAGTATTATGAGGCTTTAGATACAGTGTAAAGAGATATAATCAGTGCTAAGGTACATACATAATTTCTTGGGATCGCAAATAATACCTAAAAATGAAACTTAGAGTATAAACACTGAATTTTGTATAAAAATGTTGCTGATTTTTTATACTGAACTCATGACAACAGTTTCTGAATTAGCACCCATTTTGAGCTTTGTCCAGTAAGGTTTGAATTTGAAATGTCAAGGAATAACAACAATATAAAATCAAACATTGTGTGAGTATTGATCATGTTGTCGAATTTACGATGACAGTTCAACCATTCCTTGATGCTGTTCAGATATTATTATATTCATTAAGAACCTAATACTTCAATTCCCCCCTATTGGGTCCGGCAATGATTATTTGGTTACAAGAAAATTCTAGGTGAATTACTGCTTTTGGATCAGGGTATGTACCCTAATGTTCTAGATATTGTCCATGGATGTAATACTTGTAGCATTTTGTGTGTATATATCATTTTCCTATATTTGGTAGCATGAAAGACCTACACATCAGAAAGAACAGTTCACTGATATAAACACTTTTCCTTGGATTAATTCACCAGAAGCGTATTACATATAACTACCCTTTTGAATGCGCCCAATTAAGAAACAAATTAACAAGGAAATAATTATAAATATATAAGTTATCAAGAAGGGAGGAAGAGGTTTCCGTTGTACACCAACCGAGAACTCCAGACTCGCAAAATGTGGCACAAGTGCTCAGGTACCATGGGTGGGTGTCCAAATTGGGTTTGTTTTCGAGTACGGATTCCCCTTGGGGTAAGTGTAGAAGTAATTGTGAATCATGAAGGGCCTTATCGGTACATTGGGACCTCTGTAATTCTTAGGAGGGGCGTACAAACGCCGTAGCGTAGAGTGGGTACTTTATTTTAGTAGTATGAGTACCCATTTATTCTCTAGCTGCTGAGATAGTTGAACGAATTTGTTTTGGAAGCAGCTTTTGTATAGTTGTTTTGCTTTTTTTCAGACGGAAATCCTTCTTGATTATTTTGCGTACTGTTGCCTGGGACATGTGGACGGCTTTTGTCACTGACCTTTGTGTTCGTAGATTCTCATGTTTTACAAGGCGACTTTCCTTTACCACGACTGAGGTAAGAATTGTCTCTTTCTGGATGGTCCTGGTGCCCCAAGTTGATTCATTAAGTACGCGGGATATATCAGTCATAGAAAATCTAAGAATCCGATCTGAGTTTATGATTATTTTGTTTCGAAAAGGGCTATTATGTACCCTTTCAAAACGCGATCAATTTTCAGTGTCATCATACTACTTACAAAACGCCAAACAATGCCAAAATGTAGTTTTCATACATGCTGATCTACCGCGACTTTATATTTGATGAAGGTGTCACGTAACTTTCTTACATATTCAAAATCGTTTTAATATAACTTGCTGAGTCCTATCTAAAAACAACTTAAAACCAACATAGAACCACAGTCATGTGATTTTACTCGACAATATAAATCTCACTATCATTGTAATTTAACAAATTATTAGACGTTAAGGAAAATTAAACAGAGGTTCCACCCTAACCGTTTCATATATTTGTGTGCGTGACAAAATACTGATCACAACCTAAATTGTCATGCACCAACCACTACTGATCTCTAATTAAATTCTTAAAAAACAGCCACTACTGATCACTACCTAAATTCTTAAGAAGCAACCACTACTGATCACAACCTAAATTATCAAGTACCAACCACTACTGATCACTACCTTAATTCTCAAGAACCAACCACTACTGATCACTACTTAAATTGTCAAGTACCAAGCATTACTGATCACTGCCTAAATTCTTAAGAACCAACCACTATCTAAATTGTAGAGTACCAACCACTACTGATCACTACCTAAATTCTTAAGAACCAATTACTACTGATCTCTACCTAAATTATCAAGTACCAACCACTACTGATCACTACTTAAATTCTCGAGAACCAAACACTACTGATCATTACCTAAATTTTAAGAGCCAACCACTATTGATCACTACCTAAAGTCTTAAGAACTAACCACTACTGATCAGTACCTAAATTCTCAAGAACCAATTACTACTGATCACTACCCAAATTCTTA